ACCAAAATACCCCACCGAACTACCAAGCTCTACAACCAAATTACCAAACCAACTCATATCCCAGATATCAATCCCCCCGTCTAAACACTCCAAACTATCATCAAATGCCTCCCCCTCAACAAGGAAATTACGATCCCCCCGTCCTAGATTTGAGAAGAAGCCCGCTAGAATTTTCACACCGCTCATTGAAAGCCGAACAAAGTTGTTCGAGCAATTAACTGCGGCAGAATATATTCATGTAGTGGGACCTAAGCCGTTTAACACTAGCTTAAAGTTTTACAGACCTGACCATAGGTGAACATATCACTCCAACAGTGTTGGACATGATACCGAGGACTGTATCAACCTGAAGCATAAGATCCAAGACCTGATTTACCAGAACATGGTCTCTCTTCAGATGGTCGCGCCCAATGTCAATAGTAATCCTTTCCTGAATCATGGAAGCGTCACTATCAATACGATAGAGACAAATGATGATTGGTGCGTGACAAAGGTAATAGTTCTGATTTTTCCTGATGAACTGGAAAGGGCTGTAGCCTCATTGAGCATTAGAGTGAAAAAAAAGTTTGTGATTCTAACACTCGAGAAGGATGTTGCCTTGGTGCCAAGAGAAACTCTTTCCCAACCAAAGTTTGTGATTGAAACGGCTGTCACTCAAGGCATGACCAGATTCGATAGATGTTACACACCGAAAAAGTTGGCTCAAGTAGGGCAGAAGAAGGACCAAACAAAAAGGCCGATCAGTGAAGCCGAGGCTGAGGAGTTCTGGAGAAAAATACAGTCGAAAGATTATTCGATTGTGAAGAATTTGGAGAAGACGCCGGCTAAGATTTATGTATGGGCCTTATTGATAAGTTTGCAAATGCATAGGCAGGCTCTGATGAGAGCTTTGGATGATACTTATATGCATGTGGGTTCTAACAGTGACAATCTAGCAACCATGATAAACCAGGTCATTCGAGGACACCGAATCAATTTTTGTGACAAAGAGTTGCCCTTTGAAGGCAGGATGCACAACAAAGCTCTGCACGTCACCATCAAATGTTGGGACAAAATCATAAATCGTGTTTTGGTCGATGATGGGTTCGGTCTCAACATCTGCCCTCTTTCGACTCTCAAGCAACTGAAATTCGACTTGGAAAAAGTTCAACAAAACCAGGTCAATGTGAGAGCTTTCGATGGAGTGCAGAGAGACACGATAGGGGCAGTAAACTTGGATATTCAGATGGGCACTGCAGAATTCAATGTGAAGTTTCAGGTGTTGGATATCAACAATAGTTATAACCTGCTGCTGGGAAGACCGTTTATCCATATGGCCGAGGTTGTGCCGTCTACCCTTCACCAACTGATAAAATTTGTTTGGAAGGACCAGGAGTTGGTAATTCATGGTGAGGGGAGTCATTTTGATGGGTATGCGCAGATCGTTAATGAGGTATCCCGAGGGTGCGATTTCTACACGGTGGAGCTGGTAATCCCACCTGTGATGACTTGGCTCCACAACCTCATATGCCTTCTGTGTACAAAATGATTGCTATTGTTATGCTCCGGAGCGGTTTCGAACAAGGTTTCGGGATAGGGAAGCATTTCCAAGGAATTGTCGAGCCTGCTTAAGTTCTCGCCAGAGGAACAAAGTCTAGTTTGGGGTATGTCCCCACAGATGCTGATGAAACGGAGCTGAAGAACAAGAGTGTTGATCAAGCATTGGCCAGGCCAATTCCTCATCTGTACCAGTCATTTACGGTGTGAGAATACGTCAACGATGGTGGTCCCGAAGAAGGAATCTGGGGCCTTTTTAAACAGATTGATGCGGTCATTGAGTAAGAAGCTGGGACATCAAACATCTGTGATGTAGAAACTGAGAAGCAGTTGCAAAATTGGACCACCACACCGCTCCTGATTCCCTGTGCAGCTTGGTAGAAAAGACATGTATTTATGTTTATTTTGAAAATCGGTGGCGGAAGAGGCCCGAGACCCACCTTTTATGCAATTTTTATTTGTTTGAAGTTTTTAAATTTCCTTGTGATGTTTAAAAAGGCAAAATGGCCCTTAACCATGGCCAAAGTTTGTGCTTGTTTTTCAATTTAAATGAAAGCTTGTTTTGTCAAAAATTTGTTTACTTATTTGTTTACGTTTTACTTTCCTAACTTTGTTTGTTTATGATTTCAGTAATATTAATTTAAAACCTGCCAATGCCATGTCATGTCACGAACCGAGTGAACGAAATGGGGCAGGTGATGATGAGTGTGAGGAATACGAAGAAGAAAATGAGGTACCTAAATATGTTGTCGAAGAGTTCAGATAATTTGAGAATCAACACATGCCAAATCTTAAAGGAACTGAGACTGTGAATCTCGGAGATGAGGAATGTGTCAAAAAAGTCAGAATTAGTGTCCATCTGACCGAAGCTCAAAGAAAGGACTTCGTCCGTTTGCTTATAGAATACATTGATGTATTTGCCTAGTCTTACAAAGATATGTCGTGCTGAGTACGAATATGGTATCCTACAAGTTGCCGATTAATCCAGATTTTAGTCGAGTAAAACAAAAGACTCAGAAATTCAAGTCTGAGTTGAGTTGAAAGATCAAAGAAGAGATTACCAAATAGATCAAGTCTCAAGTAGTGGAAGTGATGCAATATCCAACTTGGTTAGCCAACGTTGTTTCGATTGCCAAGAAAGACGGAAAAATTAGAATTTGTGTTGATCACTACATATATCTCAACAAAGCTATCCCGAAAGATAATTTTCCATTGCCAAACATTCACATCCTCATTGATAACTGTGCTAAGCACGAGATGCAGTCATTTGTGGATTGTTATGTGGGTTATCATCAGATCCTGATGGACGAAGAAGATGCAGAAAAGACGACATTCATTACGCCTTGGAGAGTATATCATTATCGGATGATATCGTTCGGTCTCAAGAATGCCAGTGCTACTTATATGAGGGCTATGACAACCATCATTCATGATATGATTCACAAGGAGATTGAGGTATATGTAGATGATGTCATAATCAAATCTCGCAAGAGTTCGGATCACTTGAGAAAGTTCTTTGATCGCCTGCGTCGATACAATTTAAAGTTAAATCCTGCTAAATGTGCTTTTGGAGTACCGGTTGGCAAGCTGTTGGGATTTATAGTTAGTAGGAAGGGCATTGAGCTTCACCTTTCGAAGATCAAGGCGATCCAAGAATTACCTCCTCCGAAGACCAAGAAAGAGGTGATGAGTTTTCTGGGAAGGTTGAACTACATCAGTCGATTTATAGCTCAGTGCACCGTGGTGTGTGAGCCAATCTTCAAGTTGTTGAAAAAAGATGCCTTGACCAAGTGGACCGGAGAATGTCAAACTGTTTTTGATGCCATCAAGAACTATTTGTCCAATCCACCGATATTGGTTCCTCCACGGGAAGAAAGTCCACTGTTGTTGTATCTGTCTGTCTCGATAGCGCATTTGGATGCGTGCTTGGTCAACTTGACAAAATTAGAAAGAAGGAGCGAGCCATTTATTACTTGAGCAAGAAATTCACTCCATATGAGGCTCGTTACACTCTTTTGTAAAGGACATGTTATGCTTTGACCTGGATTGCGCATAAGTTGAGACATTATTTGTCTTCTTATACCACATACCTTATTTTCAAGATGGACCCGTTGAAGTTTATTTTACAAAAAGCGATGCCAACCGAAAAGTTGGCTAAATGGCAAATGCTCTTAAGTGAGTTTGACATTGTGTATGTGACTCAAAAGGCGATAAAAACACAAGCCTTGGCTGATCATCTTGCGGAGAATCCAGGTGATGAAGAGTACGAACCACTCAAGACTTATTTTCCTGATGAAGAGGTAGAATTTGTGGGTTAAGATATTTCTGAGGCATACCCTGGTTGGAGAGTATTCTTTGACGGAGCGGCGAACCACCAAGGAAAAGGTATCGGAGCAGTCTTAGAGTCAGAATCCAATCAGCACTATCCTATGGCAGCTAAACTTTGATTCGATTGCACAAATAACATCGCAGAATATGAAGCTTGTATCCTTGGTTTGAGTTGCTGGTTATTGGAGATTCAGATTTGTTGATTCATCATGTTCAAGGAAAATGGGTTGTGAAGAACCCAAAGATCACACCGTACGTGCAATATATATAGAAGTTATGCAAAAGATTCCTCAAGATCAAATTCAGACACACTCCCAGGATACAAAATGAGTTGGCCGATGCTCTTGCCACCATTGCCTCAATGATAAAACATCCAGTTACAAATTATATTGATCCCTTGGATATAGAGGTACAAGAGCAGCCTGTCCATTGTTCACGTGTTGAAGTGGAACCAAATGGTTTGCCTTGGTATTTTGACATCAAGAAGTATTTAGAGATTGGGACTTATCTTGATAATCCAACTTTCAACCAGAAGAAGTCGATACACTGTATGGCCCTCAATTTCTTTGCAAGTGGGGAAATCCTTTATAGGAGGACTTCACATTTAGGTTGTTGATGCTAGTGAAGCTGCGAAACTTCTAGAACAGATACATGCCGGAGTTTGTGGTACTCACATGAATGGGCTCACTTTGGCAAGAAAGATCCTCCGAGCTGGTTATTTTTGGATGACTATGGAGCATGATTGTTGCAAGTTTGTGCAGAAATGTCATAAATGTCAAGTGTATGGTGATTTGATTCGAGTGCTGCCTCACGAACTTAATGTTATGAGTTCGCTTTGGCCTTTTGTAGCTTGGGGAATGAAAGTCATTGGTTCGATAGAGCCAACCGCCTTTAACGGACACAAATTTATTTTGGTTGCCATTGACTACTTCACCAAATGGGTGGAAGCAGCTTCATATAAGTCGGTGACCAAGAATGTTGTAGCTGATTTTGTTCGGAACAATTTGATATGTAGGTTTGGAGTGCCAGAATCCATCATCACTGATAATGGAGCGAATATCAACAGTCACTTGATGAGAGAGGTATGTGAACAATTCAAGATTACTCACCGGAACTCAATCGCCTATCATCCCTAAATGAATGGAGTTGTAGAACCCACCAACAAGAACATGAAGAAGATTTTGAGGAAATTGATTGATAATTGCAGAGGTTGGCATGAGATGCTGCCGTATGCTTTGTTGGGTTACCGAACGACTGTTAGAACATCAGTTGGAGCTACTCCATATTTGCTAGTATATGGAACAGAAGTAGTTATACCTACAGAAGTTGAAATACCCTCATTGAGAATCATCCAAGAAGCTGAATTGAGTGATGCTGAATGGGTTCATAAGCGGATTGATCAGTTAACATTGATTGATGAGAAGAGAATGGTTGCTTTTTGTCATGGACAACTGTATCGACAGAGAATGATTCGTGCATCCCACAAGAAAGTAAGAGCTAGAATGTTTGAGATTGATCAGTTGGTTCTCAAATGTATTTTCCCTCACCAGGATGAATATAAAGGAAAATTTGCACCAAATTGAAAAGGACCCTACATGGTTCGCAAAGTGTTATCTGGAGGTGCCTTGGTCCTGTCGGAGATGGATGGCACCGAATGGCCTAAACCGATCAACTCAGATGTTGTCAAGAGATATTATGTGTGAAGTTTCAGTTTGTATTTATGTTATTTCTTTGTAATCATTTTATTTGCTTGTAATCGCTTTGTTTAGAATTTTATCCCTATGTAATGAACTACGTCTGACCTGAATTCTCAAAAATGAGATACGTAAGCGACCTCAGTCGATTTCTTTGTAAATCTCCTATTTTTGTTGATCCTCGAGAGAGTGAACTATGTTTGGCCTGATTCCTGCCTTAACGGGATACGTAGGTGCCACAACGGCTCGATCATATCTCCCGTAAGATTTTTATTTCTCTTTACAATAAAAACTAGGACAAAATTTTTGAGAGGAACTCAAAAATTCCCAAGAAGAAGATCTCTCCAACGAGTCGAGACTGAAGTCACATTGGGAATTGTAACTGGGACAGAATTTTTGAGAAGATCTCAAAAATTCAATGATTTGTTCATCAACAGTTCAAGATACGCCAAGGCAGTTAACTGGGACAGAAATTTCTGAGGAGGACCTCAAAAATTTCAATGAGGTTCATCGGAAGTTTGAAAAAACTTTGAATACTTCCTAGCAAATAATCAGATAGACCTCGAGGCATCAACCTCAAAGACGTTCACTAAGCTTAACGTGACATGACGCTTGGCAGTGACCTTTTCCAAATATTATATTTTGAAAATTTATTTTTCTTAAAAACCTTCTTTCATGCTTCAATTATTTTTGCATAAAAATGTTTTGTCTTATCTATCATGAAGCGGGAGATCGGAAAAATGAACCGGAGATAGTAAGCCAAGGAGCAGACAACTGAAGAGATCGACACATATCAGTTCATTTTTTAAATTAACAATTTTTCCGTGGATCCAGGTCTATAGGAAATATTTTATGCTTCTTATGTCAAAGATTGGGGAACATGAATAACATTATTTCATTCGATCCCCAATAAGGCGAAGTCCATAATGAACACACAAGTGTGTTTGGAGATGGAACATATGAAAATCTCGAAGAGAGCAATATTTTTACTTTTCAGCAACTAAGGATATTTGGAACATGTTTATCTGCATTATATTATCGGATATGATAATATTTCTTACCCTGAAGGTCATTTATATTGTTTTGTCAAATGAGATGATACCACTACCAGGAGAGTCATTCTTATCATGTTGTCAATTGAAATGATACATGTCACGCCCCGAGCATACACCCTGAACGTAGCCGGCACTCGGAGACCATTGATGGCCCCAAGCGAACCCTTGGCCGGGCTTACTTAACTTAGCGGAAGACTTAACTCTACAAAATAAACTCATGTAATAGTTTAAATGATAACATCTTAGCCAAATTGGCAACTTCTGTCTCAAAACAAAGTATCTGCAAATACATAGATGAGAGACTCATAACTATTGTCTGACAGCCTATGAAGCCTCTATAATACTGAGATGGATGTTGGAACAGACCCCACAACATCCTAATAATGAAACAGTAAAAGCGAATAAAAAAGTCCTCCGAAATGCAAGGAGGCTCACCACTGACTCTGAGTGTTCAACTGGATCAACGAGGTGCTAGATGCTGATCCTGGTTACCTGCATCTGCATCACAAGACGATGCAGGCCAACTGGCATTAGTACATTGAATGTACGAGTATGCGAGTCGAAATGCTAAACAACAACTTAAGCTTGAAAATAGTATGAAGGAACACTTACCTTGGCTCTGTACAACTAATGAATAACTGAGCACAATATAAAGAAATAAGACACATGCAATATATAAATATATATATATATATAAAACTTGTAAAACAATGTAAACAACTTAGTTCGTTAAAGATAAAGCAATAAGAAACTCAACTTTACTTATATATATAAAAGTAATATAACTTTTGTGGGAGATTCTCTAACCGATAACCACCACTATGAGCCTAACTGATGATACAACGTTTTACCTCACGTTGCCCAATGACCATCCTATACCTTGCCGTGATATTGGACCTTACTTAACTTAGTGGATCCAATAGCTTAACTTATGTGATCATCTAAAAAGTATGACTCATTAGTACCCATGCTGGCTATATGGTTTTTATGGAGACTTAAGTTAATATGAACTCGCATCCCCACTCCGGTGCTCAATACTACTCCCAAAATATACTTTAGCTCATAGGTGTTTTAAACAACTTTCTTTCTTTGATTTGAGCTAATTACTCAAAGCTTAGCCCAAAGGCTCTATTGGAATCGATGTTCCCTTTTCTTGATCAAATGTGTAAAAACATTTATAAACTCTTAGGGAATACTTAGTTCCCTTATAACTTTTGAGAAATGAACTCAATTTTTTACTCTTTGCTTAACTTGAAAACTTGAGTCTGAAAAACAAAGTAAAAACATTGTTAAAGACTCTTGAAAACTTTAAGAAACTTTGCTTTGATTTGCTTCTTAACTTCTAGACTTGACTCGTAACTTCTTTGACTTTGATCTTAACTTTCCTTGAATTGAATTATGGATTCAAGGTTCATGATCTCATGTTTATGGATGATTTAATGATGTTTAGATGTACCTTATAGTGTTGGAATCAACTAGAAAACATACGTATATCGCTTAGGAACAAGTACGAAAAGATGGGGGAAGAATGGGGTGCACTGGCGTCCTTGGCGCTCTGAGAAGCGTGGGGCGCCAGGCCCCAAACTTCAGAGAACATGTTGGGGGGTGCTGGCTGGCGTGGTGCCCCAAGGACAAAACTTCAGACACTTCTTTGGGGCACGCTGGCTAGCGCGGTGCCCCACCCTTTTTACCAAAAAAATTCCGACTTATCTCCTTCGTTTTTCATCTCTAAACCCTCCAATCTTCCCTAGTTCTTTCCTTAAACACTTAGGGTCATTAGTACTCTCAACTTAAAACATATCTAACTCTAAAATCCACCCGGAAACACGAATCAAATCAACAAGAAACTTCAACAACACACCAATCAAGAACTTAACGATGTCCTTCAAGAACTTCACTTTTTAACATGTGAACAACCCAAAATCGCTGAATTGAAACAAATTGGTGTGTGGGTGAACTAACCCATCACTAAAAGATCTCACATACCTTAATAAGGATCACCCCCGATGTATTCCAGTCCAAACGCTTGACGTTCTTAGCGAAATCTTGGCTTTTCTCCTTTTCTTTCTTCTTTTCTCTTTTCTCCAAGCCCTAAGCGTGAATTTAATTTTTACTAATCTGACCAAAAATAAGTTTTTACCCCCAATAAATCCCTAAAAACGAATTAGGAAATAAATTAGAGAAAAGACTACTTTGCCCTTCCCTAACTCCGGAATGGGACTTTCCTCAATCCAACAACCCAACTTCTGAATGGCATATCTCACTCATATGATGTTGAAATCGCGCAAACTTGGCGGCATTGGAAAGATCTCTCCAAGGGATTTCCAACCATATCAAGAGCTGCTCCTAACTCATTCTGAGCTAGGAGTTATGACTGTTTGAAAATGGCCAAAACTCACTTTCTTAACTTAGGCAAAAATTTCCAGATTTCCTTATTCTTTCAAAAATCAATATTTTCATAGTTTAAACACTTTATAGTAGTTTCTAGGTGCGAGATGTTACCATATCTCCCCCTTGGGAACATTCGTCCTCGAATGAGCTTTATTTCACTAAGCTAAGGGTGGTAACATCTAGTTTAAACACCCAATAAGTAAATGCAATAATCAACATGCTCGTTCATAATTCAAAGAGTACTAAGAAGAGAATTAGTACCTTGATCTGCATTCCCTCCGGATTCAAAGAGACGTGGATATCTCTTCTTCATATCTTCTTCAGCTTCCCAAGTAGCTTCCTCAACAAATTGCTTCCTCCAAAGGACTTTGATTGAAGCTACTTCGTTTGGTCCTCAACTTGCGAACTTGGCGATCTAAAATCCGAATCGGAAACTCCTCATAAGATAAGTTATCCTTAATCCCAATATTTTCAGTTGGTATAATCAATGAAGGATCTCTCATGAACTTCTACAACATGGAGATGTTAAACACCAAATGAACTGCTGCTAACTCTTGAGGTAGCTCCAACTCATAAGCTACATTACCAATCCTCTTGACTATGCGATAAGGTCCAATATATCGGGGACTAAGTTTCCCCTTCTTACCAAACCTCATGAAACCTTTCATGGGTGAAACCTTCAAATAAACCCAATCATCTACTTCGAACTCTAATGGCCTTCTCCTAACATCTGTGTAGGATTTTTGACGACTCTGCGCCATTTTCAACCTCTCCTGAATCATCTTCACCTTCTGATCAGTGAATACATCAACATGCACACCATACAAGTAATGACGCCATATCTTCAAAGTGAATACTACAACAGCCAACTCTAAGTCATGAGTTGGGTAGTTCTTCTCATGAACTTTCAACTGTTTGGAGGCATAAGCTATGACTTTGCCATTTTGCATTAACACACAACCCAAACCAACTCTACATGCATCGCAACACACCACAAAACCTTGAGTACCTTCCGGTAAGGTTAAAACTGAGGCAGTAGTCAACCTCTTCTTCAATTCGTGAAAGCTTTTGTCACAAGCTTCAAACCATTGAAATTTAACAGTCTTCTGAGTTAACTTCGTCAAAGGAGACAAAATAGTCGAGAACCCCTCTACAAACCTTCTATAATAGCCAGCTAAACCTAAGAAACTCTTAATATCAGTTAAAGATGTGGGTCTAGGCCAATTCTGCACTGCCTTGATTTTCTAAGTATAAACTCTAATCCCATCACCGGAAACTATGTGGCCCAAGAACGCTACAGACTCAAGCCAAAACTCACATTTTGAGAACTTAGCAATAACTCCTTATCTTTCAAAGTCTGAAGAACTATTCTGAGATGGCTAGGATAATCCTCTTCATTCCTTGAATAGATTAGTATGTCATCAATGAAGACGATAACAAACA